CTTCCCTTTGGTAGCTTCAATATTGAAATAAAATAGAACATACTCTGTCAACATTAAATCACTGCAGGGATCCTACATTAAATCCTACAGGGAAAGCAGTACTGTTCAAGAGTAGAGGTGACATGATTATGTGCCCAGATTCTAATTAACACACATTTCTAACCTAAACTTAGAGTCTACTAGCAGTTACCTATTTTACATAACTGCTTTGTTTAAAGAAGTCACCATTATCAGGTAATTTTCAATTGTTCACTGAGCCAAAGCTTGAATATGTAAAATAGAATACATAAGGGGAGGAAGGCAGCTGAACAGATGTTTTTAAAATAGTATTTTTCGCCCAGCCAGCATGAATAAGTGGACATTTTTCAATATTTACCCAATCAAGATAACACTGTATTAGTATGTAGAAAGTGCTATACATATTAACTCTGTGAATCAGTACAAAATATCAAATTCTCTTAGTAAACAAGTAGGAGTCCGGTGGCACTTTAAAGACTAACAGATTTATTTGGGCATAAGCTTTCGTGGGTAAAAAAAATCCACTTCAGATGCATAAAGTGAAAATTACAGATACAGGCATAAATATACTGGCACATGAAAAGAAGGGAGTTACCTTACAAGTGGAGAACCAGTGTTGACAAGGCCAATTCAGTCAGGGTGGATGTGGTCCACTCCCAATAACTGATGAGGAGACGTCAATACCAAGAGAGGGAAAATTGCTTTTGAAGTGAGCCAGCCACTCCCAGCCCCTATTCAAGCCCAAATTAATGGTGCTAAGTTTGAAAATGAATTGTAGCTCTGCGGTTTCTCTTTGAAGTCTGTTTTTGACTTTTTGTTGTTGAAGGATGGCTACTTTAAAATTGAATGTCCAGGGAGCTTGAAGTGTTCTCCTACTGGCTTTTGTATGTTACCATTACTGATGTCTGATTTCTGTCCATTTATTCTTTTACATAGAGACTGTCCGGTTTGGCAAATGTCCATGGCAGAGGGGCATTGCTGGCACATGATGGCATATATCACATTATTAGACGTGCAGGTGAATGAACCCCTGATGGTATGGCTGATGTGGTTGGGTCCTATGATGATGTCGCTAGAGTAGATATGGGGACAGAGTAGGCAATGGGGTCTGTTACGGGGATTGGCTCCTGGGTTAGTGTTTCTGTGGTGTGGTGTATAGTTGCTGTTGAGTACAACTCTACCCAGATATAATGCGGTCCTTGGGAGCCAAAAAAAAAATCTCACCACCTTATAGATGAGACCACGTTATATTGGGTATGATCCAGTACGGCATACCGGCCGTGCTGGACTGGATCGGCTTCCCCGGCGGTGATTTAAAGGGCCTGGTGCTCCAGCCACTGCAGGGAGCCCCAGGCCCTTTAAATCGCCTCCAGCAGCAGAATCCACTGGTGAGGCCACACCTGGAGTATTGCGTCCAGTTTTGGCCCCCCAACTACAGAAGGTATATGGACAAATTGGAGAGAGTCCAGCAGAGGACAACGAAAATGATTATGGGGCTGGGGCACATGACTTACGAGGAGCACCAGGCCCTTTAAATTTCCGGCAGCTGGGCTCGGGCAGTGATTTAAAGGGCCAAAGGCTCCAGCCCGGGGCTCCACACGAATTTGGATATAACGCGGTAAAGCAGCGGGGCTCGGATGGTGCTTTAAAGGGCCCAGGGCTCCCCGCTGCTTTACCGTGTTATATCCGAATTCACGTTATATCGGGGTAGAGGTGTATTTGCTTCAGGTTTGGGGGGCTGTCTGTAAGCGAGGACTGGCCTGCCTCCCAAAGTCTGTGAGAGTGAGGGATCGTTTTCCAGGATAAGCTGTAGATTGTTGATTATGTGCTAGAGAGGTTTTAGGTGGGGGGGCTGTACAGGATGGCCAGTGGTGTTATTTTCCTTGTTGGGCCAATCCTGTAGTAGGTGACTTCTAGGACCTGTCTCGCTCTGTCAATCTGTTTCCTCACTTCCCCAGGTGGGTATTGTAGTTTTAAGAATGCTTGATAAAGATCTTGTAGGTATTTGTCTCTGTCTGAGGGATTGGAGCAAATGCAATTGTATCTAAGGGCTTGGCTGTAGATAGTGGATCCTTGATGTATCCTGGATGGAAGCTGGAGGCATGTAGGTAAGTATAGCGGTCAGTAGGTTTTGCGTTACTGGGAGTGGACCACATCCACCCTGACTGAATTGGCCTTGTCAACACTGGTTCTCCACTTGTAAGGTAACTCTCTTCATGTGCCAGTATAGTTATGCCTGTATCTGTAATTTTCACTCCATTTATCTGAAGAAGTGGGTTTTTTATCCACGAAACCTTATGCCCAAATAAATCTGTTAGTCTTTAAGGTGTCACTGGACTTCTCATTGTTTTTGTGGATACAGATTAACATGGATACCGCTCTGATACTTAATAAACAAGTGTGCTTGGATGAAACAGTGGTTGATGATTCTCAAATTACTCTTGGGGGAATTCTGCACCACTGTGCAATGCAGAATTTAAGAATTAATGATCTGCACACAATTTCCTTTTTCACTGCAGAATTTGCACTGCAGAGCTGCTGGCCACTGCTAGAGGCCACTGGACCCAGCGGAGTGCAGCTTCCCAGCTTGCAATTAGAAGAAGCTGCGGAGGGAGGAGGGGGAACTGGAGAGTTCCAGACAGCTGTGGTTCCCAGCCAACCTCGCAGAAAAGAGGCGGTGTGCAGGAAACTCCGTACAAGCCCAGGACCCAACAACAGACAGTTTCTCCCTCTGGATTCCTGGGCTCTGAGGGGGAGGGGATGCAGATGTCTGGTCTGGGGGCCGCCCCACAGCAGGGTTCCACGGGGCAAGGGGTGTGGGTAGGGCAGACAAACAGGAACTGGGTTATTGTAGGGGTTTCTTTAACTTTACTCCGGGTGGAAATTTTTGTTGTCTGTATTGTTACAGATATAGCTGCTAACAGGTATTTTTAAATAAACTACCAAAATAATTGAAACTGGCATGATTATAGTGTGTTATTTTGACAAAATATACAGAAT